GTAGCATCATTACCTTTCCATTTACGAGCTAACGCCTTCATAATTTCTACCCGAGCTTTTGGCGACCACTTAAATAATTGCCCAAAACTTATTACAATCTCCAGGTTTGCCACCTTTCTCAAAACATCTAGATCATCTGACAATTCCGATAGAGGTATGTATATAATCTTGTCATTTTGCTTGACTCCCGAATCCGGCTTTGGCGAACTATTATTTTTCTCAGACGACCTTAACTGCCTCGTCCTTTTTGCCGGTATTTGATAAGTTGATTCATTCGTTTTTCTTTTCCCCAAGTTTCTAATATGTTTGCCTTCATCCACGTGACTATCCACGCTTCCCAACAATTCAACCTCTAAGTAATCTTTCCCATCACACGTTTCTTCTTCTGTGAACTCAAGAAATCGAACATCTGGTCGTGTCATATTTTGGTTTCCAACATTCTCTCGTACGGGATTATCCACTTGGTTCCTCATATGTTCTCTTTGGGCCCTTTCCAGACAATTTCGGGCCATGTGACCCTCCTTTTGACAATTGTAGCAACGGCATGTTCTAAGATTTTGTTCATTACGACGTGGAGTATCCGCCTTACTGGTCAGGTCTTTTACAACCTTTGTTAACTCCTTTACTACACTTTTCATTTCTTGCAGGTCTTCCTCATGCTTCTTATTGACACGATTAATTTTTAACGCCCCAAACGCCGCAGTCAAATCATCGACCTCCTCACCGGCAGATTTGGTAGGTTCATCAAATAATATTTTTGTTGCCTTTTGTGTCTCATATTCGTTATCTTTATTATACCCTTCTACTTTCATCACCCAATCTTTTGCTTCGGCAAAGTCAGCTGGGAATTTAGCATCCACACTTTCTCGATATTCACTTCTCAACCCGGCAATGTACCACTTGCGCTTTTCTCTCTCTCTTACATTAGTTCCTAATGTACCGGCATACGACTTGAAACGATTGGTGTACCCGGTAATCGACTCCTTTTCATCCTGTTTTATCCTCATCAGTCTTGCGACCTTTTCTTCTGCATTATATTTAGTTTTCGCACCATCTGTAATTTCTGTCTTTAGATCATTCCAAGATGTGGCCGTTTTCATTAACTCACAAACCCAAGGTCGCACCTTTTCGGAGACATGGAGTCCTACTACTTTCATTTTTCGATCATCCTCCCATTCCTTCGACTCGGCGTACATTTCAAAATCGAATAAGAAGTCCTCAACATCCTCATTTTCATGTCCGTGATAAAATGGCTTCGTAAAGTCAGTGGCTGCCATGATAAGTATCACTTGAACGTGTTTATATATTTCGTTTATTAACAACCGATTTTATAATTAACTTTCATCGAATTCCTTTCCTACTAGAGCAAGAGGACCTTTACAGTTGCCCAGGTCCTTTATGTCACGTAGTTACCTAAACTACCGTGAATTAGTGGGTCTTTTCTAATAATCTTCACTCGCTTAGCTAATGTGCGATGACTGGAGTATCGTACCAGATACTA